ACAAATTTTGTGGCCGATGGGTTTAGCTATTCAGGCTGTCCAGGATGGATTTTTTTTTGAGTTTTGTACGAATCAGTTGTTTGCTGTGGTGAGGATGAGGCTGCTTCAAGATCAAAGGTATTTGCCTGTTCTGCGTAAGAAGATGGTGCTGAATTTTGACGATGGTGGGTAAGAAGGTGGAAAGTTGGAAGTGTGAAGGCCATCTGAGATTGCTACTGTTTTTAAACTTTGTTGGTTGTAATGTCTAAGACAGTAGTATGTTTTAAAGGAATAAAGCCAAGTTGTGGCTTGTCCTTTTTCTTTTATGTCTTGGTTTTGTTAAGGGGTTTTATAGCTCTGTTTGCTTCTTGTAATGTTCTATCTTTTGTTAATAAATAAAATTGTTTAAAAAAGAAAAGGCATCGGTACATTGTTGTTAATAAATAAAATTATGTTATGCCTTAATATGTTATTCTTATAATATTTTATTTTTATAGTTAAATTATCATGAAAATGTATGGTGTAAATAAGTTGTTCATAAAATAATTTAGAAGTGTTTATTAAACAAGTTTTCTATTTCGGTTTTTTATAAATTGAAAACCAAAAACCATTTCAATTTTTATTTTTTTTTAAAAACTGAAAACCGAAAATGTTACCAAACGCAACTAAGAATTGAATTTTATTATTTTTTTTAGTATTAATTTATTAGTTAGGGAATATTTATTTGATTAGTAGTGTTAGTTAGAATTTAACTAGGAGTTATTATAAAATAAGAATTTGAGAGTTTGATTATGAAACTCTTTTAAAATTTTAATAGGAGAATATTTTTTTATTTTGGTAGGAAGCTTGGTCTATAAATAATGGTGTAATTCCAACTATATTTATTAGAGAAAGTGATTCTTCGTGGAGAATTTGTGTGTTTCTTCACCGATTCTTTACGAGGATGAGGGGTAAACCCTTACTATCCCCTCTTCTTTTTTTTTTTCTCTTTTTATTCTGTGATTTCTAGTCGTTTTCGTCCTACATCAATTTTGTATCAGAGTTCAACTTTGATCCTTCTTATAGTGTTTCTAGAGATCCGTTGTAAGATTGTTTTTGCTACTAACATAGCCAGGAAAAAAAAAATTCCAGCTCTAGACCTAATAACCCATCCAGCTAACCCTGCTAAAAATCTCACTCTCTAACCCAATCTTTTGAAATTATACAAACAACCCCAAAATGTTCTAAAATTATATATTTAACCCCTAAAGTTTTTGAAATTACACTTTGGCCTTGAAAAGTTTCTAAAATTATGGTTTTACCCCTAAGGTTTTAGAAATTACATTTTTGTCCAAAAGTTTCTGAAATTATAAATCAGTCCCAAAATTTTCAGAAATTATAGTTTGACTCTAAAGTTTTCTACAACTTTTCATGTTACTTCTTCAATCAAAATGATTACCAATGCAAAATTACTTGTCAAACTTGAAACTCGTGATGCTAAGCTTGATTCACTCCAAAGCGTCAATGGATTCGTTTCACACATCAATGGAATATATACAAGAAAGTGCACAAAAGTTGACTGCTGTGTTTGGAGTTAAGCTCCCAAGTAAGAATATTGCGAACAAGGTAGACTTTGATTTATCTTCTTCACCCATCATTCGTCAACAAATAGTTGATTTGTTGAAAATCTCTGCCCCAAGAAATTCCTCCACAACCGCAAACCCTAGTTCAATTGTATGATAAGCTGAAATTAGATACCGTTGATAAACCTAAAAGTTTTCCTTATCTTACATCAATTACTTTTGATAAGCCAATCTCAAAAGATTTTCTTACAAAAGAAGTTAATAGAGTTTTAAAGGGTGCCACTGCAGATGTAGTTACAATTCACCTATAATAGTATGTGGATAAGACTGTGATGGATGTAATGCATGAAGGGATTATTTTTTACTATGGAGATCTACAAAGCTATCTTCTTGGAACACAAGCTTCTTCAGATTTTTGGAGTTCTTGTAGCTCTCTAACTCTTCGAAGAAGAGTTTTTTTCAACCAGGGAGAATTGATAAAGATTGAAAAGGGATTGGATGAGCTAAATTAATAATTGAATTTTATTATTTATTTTAGTATTATTTTATTAGTTAGAGAATATTTATTTTATTAAGAGTATTAGTTAGAGTAAAACTAAGAGTTATTTATAGAGTTTTAGTAGAATATGAATTTAAGAGTTTGATTATGAAATTTTTTAGAATTTTAGTAGAAGAATAGGTTTTTTTTGGTAGGAAACTTGACATATAAATAATGGTGTAATCCCAACTATTTTTATTAGATTGTGTTTCTTCACCGATTCCTTGCGATGATGAGGTAAACCCTTACCACCTTTCTTATTTCTTTTTCTTTTTTTATTATATGATTTCTAGTCGTTCCTGTCTTACCTCAAAAGGTCTTTGGAACTGTTTACTATCTGTATGAAAAGATTTAACACTGATAAATGATGTCCCAGAAATAACGCAAAGTTGAATGAAAATGGAATAGCCATAACGTAAATATGCTCAGACAAATTCGACAAATCCGTAAGTATATGCTTGTATGTCATCCCACAGTGCTATTCGGAACTGGTTCACCTCACTTTCTCAATATTCCTTAATGACAGGTGACCCCTCATTAGGTGGGTTCTATTTATACCAATCCACGATGATCAATACTCCAACAAAATTGATGGCCAAGCCCAAGGGTCCAACTTATATTATAAATCTGATTCGAGTTTTAAGGCCCAACTCCAAGAGGTCCACAAGTTCAGCCCAATGTGATCGGTCTAGTCAAACTAATCAAGCTCATCAGGAAGTTTTACCACCAAGTGAGCATCAAGAGCCTCACTCTCGCAGCTTGGAGAGAGTCGACCTCTCTCACCATGACAAAGTTCTTTGGAAAGCACTATAATCTCCATACTGGTTGAGGAGAGGAGAAGTCGCCAAGAAATTTAATTACTATTAAACGGCTTCAATTATGACCGTTAGATTAGTTATTCAATTACTACGCATGTGATTATAAATTGTAAGCTCTTCTAACACTTAGGGGGCATCTCATAAAAATCAAGCTCATCTCCTCTCCCTTTTATAATTCTTGCTCTCCCAACGCACCAGAGTCAATAAAATTTCCGGCGAACCTAGTCATTGAAAGTGGACATAGGTTTCATTGGCCGAACCACTATAAATCTTGTTTTCACTCTCCCTCTACTCACTGTATTTTATATTGTTTAATTAACAGGTAGTGTGTNTGTATGATAAGCTGAAATTAGATACCGTTGATAAACCTAAAAGTTTTCCTTATCTTACATCAATTACTTTTGATAAGCCAATCTCAAAAGATTTTCTTACAAAAGAAGTTAATAGAGTTTTAAAGGGTGCCACTGCAGATGTAGTTACAATTCACCTATAATAGTATGTGGATAAGACTGTGATGGATGTAATGCATGAAGGGATTATTTTTTACTATGGAGATCTACAAAGCTATCTTCTTGGAACACAAGCTTCTTCAGATTTTTGGAGTTCTTGTAGCCTTCTAACTCTTCGAAGAAGAGTTTTTTTCAACCAGGGAGAATTGATAAAGATTGAAAAGGGATTGGATGGGCTAAATTAATAATTGAATTTTATTATTTATTTTAGTATTATTTTATTAGTTAGAGAATATTTATTTTATTAAGAGTATTAGTTAGAGTAAAACTAAGAGTTATTTATAGAGTTTTAGTAGAATAAGAATTTAAGAGTTTGATTATGAAATTTTTTAGAATTTTAGTAGGAGAATATGTTTTTTTTGGTAGGAAACTTGACATATAAATAATGGTGTAATCCCAACTATTTTTATTAGATTGTGTTTCTTCACCGATTCCTTGCGATGATGAGGTAAACCCTTACCACCTTTCTTATTTCTTTTCTTTTTTTATTATATGATTTCTAGTCGTTCCCGTCTTACCTCAAAAGGTCTTTGGAACTGTTTACTATCTGTATGAAAAGATTTAACACTGATAAATGATGTCCCAGAAATAACGCAAAGTTGAATGAAAATGGAATAGCCATAACGTAAATATGCTCAGACAAATTCGACAAATCCGTAAGTATATGCTTGTATGTCATCCCACAGTGCTATTCGGAACTGGTTCACCTCACTTTCTCAATATTCCTTAATGACAGGTGACCCCTCATTAGGTGGGTTCTATTTATACCAATCCACGATGATCAATACTCCAACAAAATTGATGGCCAAGCCCAAGGGTCCAACTTATATTATAAATCTGATTCGAGTTTTAAGGCCCAACTCCAAGAGGTCCACAAGTTCAGCCCAATGTGATCGGTCTAGTCAAACTAATCAAGCTCATCAGGAAGTTTTACCACCAAGTGAGCATCAAGAGCCTCACTCTCGCAGCTTGGAGAGAGTCGACCTCTCTCACCATGACAAAGTTCTTTGGAAAGCACTATAATCTCCATACTGGTTGAGGAGAGGAGAAGTCGCCAAGAAATTTAATTACTATTAAACGGCTTCAATTATGACCGTTAGATTAGTTATTCAATTACTACGCATGTGATTATAAATTGTAAGCTCTTCTAACACTTAGGGGGCATCTCATAAAAATCAAGCTCATCTCCTCTCCCTTTTATAATTCTTGCTCTCCCAACGCACCAGAGTCAATAAAATTTCCGGCGAACCTAGTCATTGAAAGTGGACATAGGTTTCATTGGCCGAACCACTATAAATCTTGTTTTCACTCTCCCTCTACTCACTGTATTTTATATTGTTTAATTAACAGGTAGTGTGTAAATCAATTTTGTACATCGTCAAAAATCATTGTCAGAAGTTGAGAAAATGTATAATGAGATCTGGATCTCAAAAGCGCGAGTCTGATTACCAAAAAAGAAGAAGAAAAGGCAATTACAAGTAATATATTTTCTAATTATTGCTAAAAAATACAGACTCCCTGACAAACTTTTCCAATACTTTTTTCAAAGAATTCAGTCAATTGCCTGCAAATACTGGTCCTCCAAACTTTAGCATCAAAGACCCCATGGGTAAGTAGGGTTACTAGGGACTGATCCATAGTAATGGGGCATGTTGTACTGCTGATAAAAAGGGTGCAGGGTATAGGGATTATATATTTGCATCTGCCATTGATTCACCTCATCTTTGGGTCCATCTGCTGAATAATTTCCATATCCATGGACGTTAGGGTACCGGGGGAACAAGTTGTTTCTAGGAGCCATGGATGATGGACTTATGGAAGCTTCTAAAAGAGCCTCCCAGCTCACATTACTGTCAACTTCAAACTGTATTAGTGGCTCCATATCTCCAACTTTATCCACTTTTTTGTTCTCAGCATGTTCTTCAGATTTCAACAAATTTGTGCTTTCTACCTTCTCTGATATCACCGGTTGTTTGTCCTCACCGTCTTCTGTTAAACTCAAAGGAGACAGAATCGTTGATGTTAATGGGGATGTGGTGGATNGAGAGAGAGAGAGAAGAGTGTTTTGTGTGTAATGGGAGTTGGGGGCTTTTCATTTAAGATTGTGAAGCCTAGATGATGACGAAATCTATAGTGTTTGTCTTTGTGTCTATATGAGAATATTGTCAACACATTTGTTGCCACAAGAAAACTTTGTTGCCACCGAATAATCGGGTTGTTAACAGGCAAACGGTTGGAGGAAGAACTTATTCTCCTACATTGGTACGATATATTGGGTGATATCTTACGAGTAAGTATCTCACTTTACACATTTTAGTATTGAGTTTTTCATAATGTCCCCCCACTACTTAAATTGGCTTCACCTTGTTTGATCTAAAACCAAATATCTGTTACCACACCCTAATATATGTATGGAGTAAAAAACAAAATCAGCTACAAGTTTCGTCCAATCTGTAACTGATATATACAACTGGGATGATTTGAAACTGGTAAGAATAGTTAAAGATACAACAAGAGAAATATGAAAATTGTGGGGATAACCTGAAATAGATGACATAGGTGATGGGTCAAAAATGTAATCTTCCCTTTTTTATAACTCAGAAGTATGGTTTTTTTTTTTTTTTTTGTTGCCGTCCGAGTGAACCAAGTGTTTGAAAAATGAGTGATTTGGTACACCGTACATAAGAGGACAATAACTGATCAAGGATGGGAGCAAGAAGGCTAGATTGCCACATGGAAGAGGGAAACATAAAGGGCAAAGATAAATACTTGGGAGTCATTCAATTTTTTATTTTGGTTTGACTCATTCAATTTTGGATTGTGCCTCTTCTGCATGTTTAAGTTTGTGCAAGTTGGGTGTGCATCTTTGAATTCAGTTTTTTAATAAAAAAAGTACATTTACTCCCAATTCATATCTGTAGCCGGAGTTTAGACTTCGGAGTGCAGGCTTATACAATAAAAAAAATAAGAGTAATAACGGATGAATTTAAAAAATTAATTTGTTAATCACAACAATTGAATAGATAGTGAATTTTAATAAATATTAGTACTTACAGTAAAATCAATAAATATAATTATTAAGCCTATTTTTTAAATTCATGTAACATTGTACACAAAGATAGCGAAGCTAGCACACCAAAAATTCAGCAATGTGCACAAGAATATTGAATTGTCACTCACAATCAATGCCGATGTGCGAGAAGCCAAAATCGAAATATTCTCCCAAATACAAGCGTACGACTTCATAAATTTCGAAGATGTACTCATTCATAGAGATTAGGCCAGATCATAAGGTATGAAACGTCCAACAATACAGCAAAAAGCATGCATATTGCAATTTTCAACATGCTACTTTTCTCAAAATCCAAATTTGTATGTATACACCATACGATTCGTGATTGAAATCAAACCAATAATGTACATCAACAAAACTGGAGGAACATCATCTAAGGTGTGGAAAGTATACCAAATGTGATAATGGTATACAAGGAGAGAGCTTCATATCTCCATGAAATTGTAAAAGTATTACTAACCAAGAGAGGGAAAAAAAAAGCTCGTAGACAATGAAATACATTAAAATATGTAGGTTAACCCCTTTTCTTGAAAAGGGGAATGAAAAGCAATTATCAGCACCATCAAAAGAATCCTTAATGCAGAGCATACCACAATTGATGACATCATCAATGCTGCACCATCAACAATAATTGTATGAGTTCAATACACATTAGTGAGTGTAACTTTCAACTACATTGATATATACACATCAACTTGAGTTTCTATTTATTTAAAATGTTAGAAATCTTTCTGCTCTTTGAGAGCAATGATTTTGAACATTGAGAATAAAAATGAGCCATGGTATGATGCCTCAAACCAATGTCAGAGTATGGTTTTCAATAAAGGTGAAGGAGCTGAATGCAAGAAATACAAGAAAAACAATGTCAAACACAGTCAGAGCTAAATAACTAAAATTATTTCTTATTGGCTATCAAAATGTACAATTTTATCATGAAATACCTATTTTCGATCACACAATTTATAACTTACTATGACAATCCGCATATCGCAGATATATAGTAAAACTCAAATTGTCGGATAGAGACCAAAGCAGTCAAATAACTTTGTTCAATGTAGCAGAAACTTTGGTTAGATGTCCAGTTTCAGGGTTCATTGAATCAAAAAAGCAGGTACAAAAATATTTTTAAAATATCACCCGATAAAGCAGTGAGAAATACTAACTAAATTTACATATGTGGCAGAACAAGATGCACTACAGGTTCTGTAGAAAGTTAATTTTGTGCAATGGAGAACACTTGATATTTTTTTTATAAGAAAGCGCAAAATAAGTGACAATGATCAATCATCAAGATGCTTTGTGATGGAAAAAGTAGAGAGACCAGAGGATTCAGAAACTAGCAAAGACCAAACAAGAAAAAAACCAAAAAAACTGAAAGATTGATGCTCTTACGGACAAGGAGCTGGAAAAAGATGGCTATAATAGAAAAATAGGATTTATCTTCTTCCTTGGATTTGAATGCATTTTACTGAACATTTTGTTTCTTAGTGAAATATATACAATGGTTTTTATGCCACTCTATACTCTGCTAGTCTTGGATGAACATTAGATTGTGTTGTCTCATTCTCCTTAATTCTTAAAATATGTTTTGAAGAATGCTTTGCTCTATGGTATGATCTGTTATTCTTTCCTAACAAAGGGTTTTAGCTGATCATTGAACTAATTTACTGGTTGGTCGTAGTCATGGACTGTTATTGTAGTGATTTTGTCATTCTAACAATCACCGACTTAGTTTTGTCATGAATAAGAATTGGGAGGTTATTTCAATGGATAGCCATTGGGCTATCTAAGTTATGGATTGCTAACTGATATTTAGATTGTGTCTTTCCTCAGAGATTCCTTTTTGATAATGATAATTGAATCTTGGAAAGATGGGCAAAATAAATTTGACTTTTTTTCCTCTGAAATGTTATCTTGCTATGTTGTTAAAGTGGAATATTCCTATACTCATCAGTTCAAGTCTCTATACTATTAGATCCTAAAAGAAGATCATCCCTTTGTATTCTTTTCTTCGCAACTTTCATTGATTTTCCATTTTTATTTAAATTTTTTGGCTCAATAATCTTGAATTTTGATCTTTTGTTTGAATCTCTCCCAACTATAGTTGCACATTGATAGCGATTTTATTTGAATTGCTCTAAATATTAATTGGCTGTGCTCATTGAAAATAGCTTTCCTTCACCGTACCCTTATTTTAGATTCAACATTGATCAAGAACAAGTTAGTCGGTGTCTTAAAGAAGAGAGATTTTACAAGAATTGCAACTTATTCAAATAATTTCATTCAAACTACTTGACAAATAATCCATAGTAAGATTCAACTTTTGAATATCCTTTAGTATAACATAAAACTGAAATGGATTTTATGTTCCATGAGCCCATTTACCACATGGTAAATATTTACATAACCTAAGCAAGACAATAATATATTGAGACCCTAACTAAATTACTTGCAAAAGTAGTTGTCATTATTTCAGCTCACATTAAACAGTCACCAATGATAAACACAATAGAGGAAAGACAAATCATCAACACCGTGATCAATTTTGTTGTACAAGTCCATTAATGCACTACTATAACAATGGGTGTGTGGAAAAATTGTGGTCATTCTTTTGAATTCATGCATTGGACATTTGTCATACTTTATTCTTTTTATATATACGGACTTTAGGCATTGCTCAGATAAATTTATAATGAATATAACTGATGTGTTGTTCATAGGCAATTCTCTATATTTTGGAAAAAAAAATTTCACTCATAAAAGGTACTATAAGAATGCTTTTGTGCTACAAAGTTTTTAATTTGTATTGGTGGGTTAAATGACTAATCTAGACTCTAAACCAATGGGCAAATTTGAATAGATGTCCTTCGACAGAAGTAAAACATTGTTGATGCAAATGTTGTCCTTTGCCCAGTCACAAACTAAGTAGTTGTAAGTTGATTGATTGCACAATGGCTTGTGGTTGATGTTTTCTCTAGCTGTGTTTTGTACTTGATCTTTACTCTAATTGTTTTATTATTTCTTTGTTGTATGAATGATTGGATTCCTCCTCCACCATAGTATTGACTGACAATGAAAATTAAAGATATTTTTCAATACAAAGCATGACAATGGATTGTCCAACTATGTTACTTACTTTACACAATCTTTTTAATTGGATCAACTACCTTGGGCATATGCATCATTATTTATCTTTTATACATTTCACTTGTTATAGCAATGATTGTTTTGTAGCATTATAACCAAATGTTAATATTGGTAAAATCTCCACTACGTATTGAACCATTAATTTATGATTCAATAGTTAAATGCACGTATACACTAACTAGTAGTATAAATGTGTCATCTTTCTTTTGTCGATTAAGATAAAACAAGTGAGTGTGCCCACCTTAAAATGATTTTTTGGCCCCGCCCCTGTTTACACTCTCTCTCTCGTGCACATTACCAAATTCTCTACAATTATGCAATTGTGTTGTTTCTCAAATTGACATCGTTTTGTACACAAAATATCATTTTGAGGAGCACAAACAGCAGATGAGCTTTACCCTATGTACACACCCTTGTAGGACACCACATACACACAAAAAGCTCGAAAAAACGCACGCATCCAACATTCACATGGCCTTATCATGGGCAGGGAGGAAAGTCCGACGGGGAGGAAGGTTCAACTTTAAGCTTTTTCCTTATGTTTTACCGAGACTTAAATTGTTGCTTTCATCTTCAATCATGTATGAAGTGATCATTGCGTTCATTAAGTACTAGAGTACTCTGTACAATGCACGGACAATTTATCAATCAGACACATTTAATATATATTTAAATAAAAAATAAAATCCATACTTTAATCTCTAAATTTTTAGAAGGTCTCATAATTTTAGATGTATTACTAACTCATCAAAAATATAAATTTAAAAAGTTTAAGCCCTAAAATAAAGCTCCAAAAAATTAAGTCTAATCAAAAGTTTTCTTGTAATAATTCGGGTCCATGATCTAATCTATAACGTTAAAAACCTAAAAATCGAAAGTTAAAAGAATAAAAAATTACTTAAAAGTCAATTCATATTTACTCTTATTCATTCTCTCTCGCTCCGGTAAAAAAAAATTTAAAAAAAATAAAAGTTAAAATTAAACTATCTCTCTCTCAAGTAAAAAATAAAAGCAATAGTTGAAACATCTTTCTTAGTACCACTGTCGCAATTTTCTTTTGTCCCTCTTACATAAAAATTAAAAATAAATTAATTTTTTTAAAAAAATTAATAGTAAAAGTAAAAAAAGCTTCATTTAGTGATTTCGCTTTTGATATCAAATTACCTTGAGCTGTACTTGATAAAAACAATTCACTGAAAACAATTACACTCAAATATTATTCCATCCTCAACCCCAAATATCCCTTAATTAGGGGTGAAATTTGAGTGGGAGAACTTGAACGCAGGCCCAAAAAACAAGGCTTTGGTCGTAGTTTTAATATTTGGATTGGACCTAAATTGAAAAACATTAACCCAAATTAAATTTGGGTAATTCTCGGGTTGAGATCTCGGATTATCGGGTTCAACTCGATTATATATTCAAGTTCAATCCAAATATTAAATAGGGCTCAACCTAAATATTATAGTTAAATATTGAATCCGATATTTTTTTGATGTTAATTTGGCTATTATAACTTTGATGTTAATTTAGCTATTATGTCTTTTTGTTAAGAAAATAAACAAATATACACCTAAGATCTTTTCAAAGACAAGCCTAGTAGTATCCACCTAATATAATCAAGTGGAACAAAAGAAACAGGAAGAAGATTTGGGTCCTGAGATGAAAAATGGAAGTCAAATTCATAACATGTTTCATTTTTCACGCATCGCTACCGAGTCTTATACTCCATTTGGTAAGTATGGACAGTATGAGAGATACATTTTTTATCATTTAATGATAGAAAATAAAAATGATACACGTTCTTTCTTTTGTTTTTGGTTAAATAGATGAAAAATAAAAATAATTATTTTTTTTTTGTACTTGCTAAGATTGGGGGTGACAATCGAATTATGTCGTATCAGATTCGTGTTGAGTCATAAAATTATGAGTCTTTTATATTTTTTATTCACGTGTCAAGTTATTTTCAAGTTCGTGTCATAAAATTTGTGTCGAGTTCAAGTCGTGTCATAGCGTTGAGTTGAAAATTTTCACCCATAGTTAAGATGAAATTTTTTTTTTTTAATTTAAAATTTAAAATTTTTTATTATTTTATTTTTAAATTATATATATATATATATATATATTTATGATTGTATTTTTATATTAAATTAATATATAGATAATATATAGACAAATAAAATATATCTCAACACAAATAATTATATGATAAAAAAAAACACAAATAGTTATCTTTTTATCTACTTTCCTTTCAATTTTAGAGGAATTAATTTTAATAACTTAAAAAAAAAAAATTAATCCATTTATCTTTCTATCCTTTCAATTTTCTATCTAACTAATTTTTCATCCTATAAATGGAGCATTGACCTATGAGAAGGGTGCAAATGAAAAGGTCTAAAACGGCATTCCACCTTGTTGACAACAGTCAAACTAGTACTTTGACCTTCTCTGGGCCATTTTTCTAGTCTTCTTGGTGATCAAACTATGACTGAAAATTTTGGTGGGATGATTTCTACAGCAGATGAAAAAGGAATGGAATGAATGATCAACTCTAGTGGACAAAAAAGTGTGAAAAAAATCAAAAAATACAAAAAGGATTCACATCATCTCTATTCATAAGTATTCAATTTCACCGTGTATGAATAACAGAATTATTAAATAACTATTTACTCTAAATATTTAAGTTTTTAGAGATGATTTAACTTAAGTATTTATTTATAATGAGTGTGACTATTCTCACCCCATTTCTACTTACACCCCGACTTTAAAATATTTTTTTTGTTTGTTTATCCCAACATGTATGATTAAACATCTGTTTTCTAACCCCATCTCACCCTTTATTAAAAACCCTAACATCCTAGCCTTAAAATTATATCCTCAAATTTAGTAAGAGAACCTAAAATCACGATTGTCTAAACCAATATATGAAAATTGAGATAATAAGTTAGTATTAGCTGAACCAATCAAGTTGATGAATTAATCATAGTCTTCAACAATTCCTTCGCAACCTCAATTGCCCTTCTTTTCGATCACATGACCGCAATATAAAATCACAACTCTTTTAATTCATTTATCATATTTTGCTTAAAGGTTTTTGCCATTCGATAATCAATATCATTGAAAATCTACTTCACTGTCACATTATGGACAACTAGGTAGTGACAATGGTGGATGTGGGGTGATGGAGATTTGGGGGTTGGGTGGGTTTGATGGCGTAGGTGGTGATTGTAGATTTATGGTTAATTAATCACTAGAATGAATATAGTATAGGGGTCGGAATGGATATTTTATGGTTAGGTATAGCCCTACTCATTTATAATTCAAGAAACCCCTTCGTGCTATATTTTAGGATTAGCATGGGAAAATATAATAATTTGAATGACGATGAAATTTGAACACAATAACTTCTGATGATACACAAAATAATTTTGTACACCACCTGTCAAGTGTGAATAATAAATTCAAGAAAATTAATCATGGGAGATAGAAAGACAGTGACAATTTATAGTGGTTCGGTCAATTTGACCTACGTCCATTCTTCAATGGCTTTTGATTGCCGGGTATTTTATTAACTCAAGGGAGTGGGGAGTACAATTTTTCAAGGAGAAGAAAGAGTCGTGTTCAGGTAAAAAGTGTGATCTACCCCCAAGTGTTGGTGACGCGTGCAATTTATAGTAGCCCCCTTAACAGGTTAGAGCTACTTCTCAGCAACTGAGCAACTATTTCAATGGAGCTCATAACTTCCTCTCAACAGGTGAGGTGGTTGAGGAGTTCTCCATGAGATGCGGTCAAAGATAAGGCGAGGGTGGACCGTTTTCTCTTGTGGTGCAGGTAAGGCAAGGGTGGACCGTTTCTTTCTGCAATGCAGGTAAAGACCCTACACTCTTCCTCTTGATGACGTAGCCGAACTGATGAGACTGGACTTGGACAGTATTGAGCTTAGTGCATCTTTATAAAATTGGACTCTTCAATTGAGGTTTGAGTTTTTCAAATAAATTGGATCATCTTGGGGCTTGACCCATCAACTTCTATTCTGATACCATATCAAATAACTATTTACTTCAAAACCTTAAACTATTAAACGAAATATAATTTAAGTATTTATACTTTTACGAGAACATGGTCCCGAAATTCATGGCTCTGTTGTGTAGCACTTGGAGTCGGGAGTATATTAAAATTCTAATCCCACTATTGACATGAACAAGAAAAAATACATTATAATGACATAGTATCTACATTTATTTATTTACAGATCTTTATAATAATAATAAAAAATGCTGGATGTGCCTTGTGGACACCGAAATCAGTACTCTTTTTCTCATGCGTCCATTTAACGCAACTATTTCCCCGCAAGACCATTTTGTTTTCCTCTCCAAGACTTCAATTGCTTCTTTCGTCTTAAATAATGTATGAAGTGATCATTACTGTCATTTAATATTTAAATAAAATTCATGTTATCCCTTAAAGTTGCGTTTCAAAGTTGGGTTTCGTGCTACTTACTGTCTTGATTCAAATATAGCTACAAACAATTTGGAATTTTCCAAGGTAAGTCAACCAATTAAGATTTTAGATTAAACTACTACATTTTAAATTTCGTCTAAATTGTAAAAAAATTGATGCGTGTTTGATACGAAATTTAAAATATGTAAAATATTAAAGAAATCAAATTTCAATTTAGACCCACAAATATACAGCTTCCAACTTTTGAAAGACAAAAATTAAAGAGTAATCTTATTTGAACGTAAAAATATAACATAATTTGTTGACATGATGACGTGCCTTCAGTAGAATTATTTGATTAACACTAAGTTCTAATTTTTGATGGGGCACACAATCAATTCAAAGGTAATAGTAAATTAGATCAGCAAATTAAATTAGTAAATTAGATTCCAATAACATTGCTCAAAACAGTAGTAATCTCGCAGTTATTTCAAAAATAAAAATTTCAAGGATAAATATTAATTATTAGAGAGGGGGTAGTATTTTATCCACTTCTTCACGGGTAAAATATTTGGTGTGAGGATCTTCTTTATGATTAAGTACACTTGATAATTATAACTATTGATTGTAACGTGAGTCTCAACATTTGTTGAAACTCATTTCTTATTTAATAATTGTGATTATTAAGTCTATTTTTTAAGTTTATGTAGTATTACTTTTGCATATAAGGCAGTTATATTTTTTACGAGTAGTGTTACAAAATTCAAATGAAATCTAAAAAGTTACAATCTAAATGCATATTATCTCTTGAATGAGTGTGTCTCATCAATTTTTCAGTGGGACCCATTTATCTCACGTTCATCCAAAGAGTAATATGCATTTCAGTTTTAATTTTTAAATTTTATTTGTGTTACGTAGGATTTTTTATTTTTTAAATGGATAGAATAATAATTATTAAGTGGAATTCACTTGATTATGTGTTAATTCGTAATTGAATGAATGATTACAGCAAATAACAACAATAACTTGATGTCAGCTTTATGCTTAATATTTTCTCTTTTGTCCACCCCAACACCCACGGCACCGTTAAATTACCAGTTCAATACCTTTAAGTAACAGAACCGTCAACGGTCNTTGATACGAAATTTAAAATATGTAAAATATTAAAGAAATCAAATTTCAATTTAGACCCACAAATATACAGCTTCCAACTTTTGAAAGACAAAAATTAAAGAGTAATCTTATTTGAACGTAAAAATATAACATAATTTGTTGACATGATGACGTGCCTTCAGTAGAATTATTTGATTAACACTAAGTTCTAATTTTTGATGGGGCACACAATCAATTCAAAGGTAATAGTAAATTAGATCAGCAAATTAAATTAGTAAATTAGATTCCAATAACATTGCTCAAAACAGTAGTAATCTCGCAGTTATTTCAAAAATAAAAATTTCAAGGATAAATATTAATTATTAGAGAGGGGGTAGTATTTTATCCACTTCTTCACGGGTAAAATATTTGGTGTGAGGATCTTCTTTATGATTAAGTACACTTGATAATTATAACTATTGATTGTAACGTGAGTCTCAACATTTGTTGAAACTCATTTCTTATTTAATAATTGTGATTATTAAGTCTATTTTTTAAGTTTATGTAGTATTACTTTTGCATATAAGGCAGTTATATTTTTTACGAGTAGTGTTACAAAATTCAAATGAAATCTAAAAAGTAACAATCTAAATGCATATTATCTCTTGAATGAGTGTGTCTCATCAATTTTTCAGTGGGACCCACTTATCTCACATTCATCCAAAGAATAATATGCATTTCAGTTTTAATTTTTAAATTTTATTTGTGTTACGTAGGATTTTTTATTTTTTAAATGGATAGAATAATAATTATTAAGTGGAATTCACTTGATTATGTGTTAATTCGTAATTGAATGAATGATTACAGCAAATAACAACAATAACTTGATGTCAGCTTTATGCTTAATATTTTCTCTTTTGTCCACCCCAACACCCACGGCACCGTTAAATTACCAGTTCAATACCTTTAAGTAACAGAACCGTCAACGGTCATCCATCTTCACCAATGTCATTTATTTAACACATCCAACCAAACACAACGTCTTTCCATAGTCACACCAACACCAACACCAACCATGTCTCTGTTCTCTTACCCTCTCTGTCTCCGCTTCTTCACTCTCATCTCTACAACCCCTCCTCCATCCTCCGCCCAACGACACCCCAACATCTCCGCGTTTTCCTCCTTAGCCTCACCGTGGAGTCCTGGCCTGGACCAAATCCTCCTCTCTCCAAACACCACGTTTGCCGCTTGGTTTCAACCTCTCCCCACCTCTCCAAACCTCTATAACTTCTCAGTTTGGTACCATGACATCTCTGAAACCACCATAGTCTGGTCCGCCAACGACAACTTACCGGTCAACCGCTCTTCCACTCTCTCCATCACACGCTCCGGCGTGCTCCAATTAAGCTATCCTTCCGACCGAAACTTATGGCCTTCAAAACCCACCGGGAAAAACACCACCAAACTCACCCTTCGTGATGATGGTAACTTAGTTTTCGGTAAATGGGAGAGTTTTTCGTATCCAACCAATACAATTCTCCCCAACCAAAACTTCAATAGATCAACATTATGAACGAAGAATGGGAAGTTCAAGTTTATTGGCTCCAGACAACTTGTTTTTGTTACAAATGTTAGTTACTTCACTACAGATCGATTTCTGATGCTGGATGACAAAGGAAAAATCGATCAAGAAAATGGTGCTTCATTCATTTCAGCAGATTTTGGTGCTACCCGATTGAGAAGATTGACTCTTGATGAAGATGGAAATCTCATACTATATAGTTTTGATCCAAATTTGGGTCAATGGACTGTTGTTTGGCAAGCAATGAATCAACTGTGTAGAATACGTGGTACGTGTGGTCCTAACTATATATGCCTGTACGATGGTTTGAACTCTACTTCTTGCTTATGCCCGCCGGGGTTCCAGCCCGTTTCTGGTGACGGCAAAGAAGCTTGCGAAAGGAAAAATCCGGTACCCAACCGGGAAAGTAGCAAGTTTTTACGTCTAGACTATGTGAGTTATAGCGATGGGTCATACAATCCAGACATTCAGGCCCAGAATTTCTCAACTTGTGAAGCCAAATGAAGTATGATGGTAGGCTGTATTGTGAGCTGCTATTGGAGAGGCTACTATTTGGGTACTGGTCTCCTGGTACGGAAATGGCCACGTTTCTTCGGGTGGATAGATCCGATACCAACGAATCCATCTTTACCGGGTGGACAGATGTGCTCGAGACAACATGTCCGGTTCGGGTCAGCCTTCCCCACCCGCCAGAGGAGCCCAACACCACAACCCGGAATATTGTGCTAATATGTACTCTTTTTGCAGCGGAGCTTATTAGTGGAGTTATTTCCTTTAGGGCATTTGTCAAGAAGTACATAAAGAATAGGGACATGGCTCAAACCCTTGGGCTTGAACTTTTGAGAGCGGGTGGGCCAAAACAGTTCGGGTATGCGAAGCTTAAAGTTGCTACCAATGATTTCTCCAAATATAACATTATTGGAAAAGGTGGGTTTGGGGATGTTTATAAACGAGAATTGAGTGATCACCGGGTAGTAGCAGTTAAGTGCTTGAAAAATGTTGCTGGTGGTGATGCTGAATTTTGGGCTGAGGTCACAATTATTGCCCAAAAGCACCACCTGAATTTGGTAAGGCTATGGGGTTTTTGTGCTGAAAAGGCTCAAAGGATACTAGTTTATGAGTTTGTGCCTAATGGTTCACTAGACAAGTGCCTGTTTCAAAGTGTTGGATCTTCAGAAACCCAACAACAAATGGCTCCAAATTTGGAGCGTAAACCGATACTTGATTGGAACATCTAATATCGAATTGCTCCGGGAGTGGCAAGAGCAATTGCTTATTTGCATGAAGAGTGCCTAGAGTGGGTACTACATTGTGACATCAAACCGGAGAACAGACTTTTAGGGGATGATTTTTGCCCAAAGATTTCAGATTTTGGGTTGGCCAAACTAAAGTAAAACAAGGACATAATGAGCATGTCAAGGATTCGAGCGACCCGGGGATACATGGCGCCTGAATGGATCAAAATAGATCAGATCACATCAAAAGTTGACGTTTACAGTTTTCGAATGGTGTTGCTGGAAATTGTGAGTGGGGTAAGGAATGTTGAGATACAAAGCTCAAAAACAAATGGTGAGGATTGGTATCTACCTAGGTGGGCATTTAATAAGGTCTTCAAGGAAATGAAGTTGGAGGACATTTTGGACCATCGGATCAAACAAAGTTATGATAATCGGAATCATTTTGACATGGTTAATCGGATGGTGAAGACCGCAATGTGGTGCGTTCAAGATCGACCCGATATGAGGCCATCAATGGGGAAGGTAGCTAAAATGCTATAAGGGCAGGTGGAGATTGAAGAACCAATAAAGGCCAAAATTTTTGTAGCACTCAGAAAAAAAACTTCAAGTCACTTGTCTCCACCATAACAGGACAAGTGGCAACAGTAATCAGTTGACATAAAAATGGAGCTCGATAAAATTCAGTTGGACTGATATAGATAAGAGTGACAAGTGCGACGCCCTCAAACACGATACTGCATCAGAGCGAGATGCATCTCCATCACGTTGGAAGTGGCAAAATGGACCTTTTACAAAGGTTGGGCATAAATGGAATCGCAGAAGTGTGGGAGCAACCTCGGCGAGACTCGCCTCCCCCGCTGTGGGAATGGTATCCTCAACCTATTGAATGTCGTTGCTCAATTGGGCCACTGGACTAAAGAAGTGTCCCCACCTAAGGACATGGGAGTGTGTCACTCCTCAAGGGAGAATTTAGCAATAGGGGCGGATGAGCATTGATTGTCAATCTCGGTTTGGGACAGCGTCTCGAAGGTTTAGTCTGCTCGAGCAGGTCTCCCAGTGTATGACTCACTACCCACTGAAATGTGCTTGATTGGGATCCAGAGAGACTCTTAAAGTAATTAGGATATTGGTCTGGGTCAGCATATGGGATGATTGGACATGTGGATTGGTGGTTGAAGAACCAAAATTATGTGGCTTTCCTCTATCGGGCACTTCAACAAAAGTCTCAAGGAAGGGTCTAGAGAGGGAAAGAAGGACCCCAAGTTGGAGCGCGTTGGAAGCATTGCGGGCATGGTCCTCTCGAGATCATGCTCCCATGGTGACCTGTTGCGATCATGGACCTTGGGAGCCCTCTTTCACCATGGTTATCACACCTTCCTTGGGGCCACGTCCAGATTGCGTTTGGGGAAACATCACATTTGCCCAGTTACGTTGGGACGTGTGGCTCACTGTTAACGGCCATTGGTATCATCGCGGTCGAGGCAGTTGTGGGTAAGCGCGAGTGGTAGGGGGTTGCAACGAGCAGTCCTTTGGGCAGCCCGACCTGCCCAAGCACTGTGCTATAAATACCCACATTACTTGCCCACTGCAGAGGATGATTTTTTTGGCTAGTGAGAACATTTTTCACTTACCTNACGTGTGGCTCACTGTTAACGGCCATTGGTATCATCGCGGTCGAGGCAGTTGTGGGTAAGCGCGAGTGGTAGGGGGTTGCAACAAGCAGTCCTTTGGGCAGCCCGACCTGCCCAAGCACTGTGCTATAAATACCCACATTACTTGCCCACTGCAGAGGATGATTTTTTTGGCTAGTGAGAGCATTTTTCACTTACCTTCTGCCCAACTGGTTTGTCCCTCCATTAACAGGCTGCTCGACTTCCTTCCATCCCATCCACTTACCCTACTCACCCCCTTTGATTACACTTGGCATAGACACGCGTGTTAATCTCTTTTAACTCCCCATCTGCATTCTTTTGGCGACTCCACTGGGGAGGTTTGTCCTCGCTAGTCTATGCCTATTACAACTCGAAGTGGAAAAGTATTGTCTAATACGATGACCAAAAATAACAACGACAAGGAAGGCAAGCAGCAGAAAAGCCCACCCCAATGCGAGGATAGCCATGGTTCCCCTGNGCGACTCCACTGGGGAGGTTTGTCCTCGCTAGTCTATGCCTATTACAACTCGAAGTGAAAAAGTATTGTCTAATACGATGACCAAAAATAACAACGACAAGGAAGACAAGCAGCAGAAAAGCCCACCCCAATGCGAGGATAGCCATGGTTCCCCTAAGTCGAAGGGCTCTTGAGGTGCTAGGGTCCTCTGCAATGGTGCAAGCTCTGCACGATATGCAAACTCTGCAGCAACAGATGGCTGTTGTAATGCAGATGATTCAAGCTCAGATGCATTTTTAACCACCTAGATTACCACCTGGCTTGCAAAACCCACCAATGTTCTTACCATTGCTCCCGCAATACCCCATGCCACTGCCTTTGAATTTGCCTGTATCTCCTCCAATGGCACTGTCGGGCAATAATGGTGCATCACGGAAATCGAGCCCTTATAGCTTAACTTTGCAAAATCCTACCAGTGAACCCCTACCACTTTTGCTGCAAATTGATGCAACTAACCCCCTGGTTCCTTCACAACAAACTACCACAGACAACCCTCTATTGGCCGAAAATGGCCAATGACGCTAGGAAAGTGCAGTGAAATTGCCTCTAGTGCCAAGAACACCTAGAATCCAAGGAGTGCATTATCGTAGAAGAAGTAGGGGACTGGTGCCAACTTTACATCGACTTCCTTCGTAAAGGGTCACTTCCGACAGAAAAGAGTGCCGCGACAATGGTCAAAAGAAGAGCCCCTAGGTTCTTTCTAAATAACAATGAGCTATATAAAAGGGTGATTAATGGAAAAAGCCTAAGGTGCCTCACGGGCAATGAAGTTTCGGAGGTGCTAAAAATGTTACATGCCTCAAAACACCAAGGGGGGCCGAAGCTATACACCCAGATGTTGAACTTGGGGTATTATTGGCCGAAGATAGAGGGGGAATGCATAGAGCACGTGCGAAGGTGTGATATATGTCAAAAGCACGGGGATCTCATTCACGCACCGATCGCAAACTTAAGGACTTTAGTCACCCCATGCCCTTTCATACTTGGGCCACAGACCTCATGGGACCCATCAATCCTCTATCTTGCGGAAATATATGGATACTGGCAGCAATGGAGTTGTTCACAAAATGAGTGGAGGCAGTCCCCCTAAAAAGGGCGACGGGGAAGATAGTGGCCAACTTTCTAAAAGAAAATATAATTTACAGGTTTGGGTTCCATAAACACTTGTTGTCGAACAATGACATCCTCTTCGTTAATAGAGACGTGGCCGCAACGTTACAACAATACGGGGTGTTCCACCATACCTCCACACCGTACTACCCATAGGGAAATGGTCAAGTTGAGGCCACTAATAAGACCTTGATACGAATCTTGAGTAGAACCATCGAGAATGGGAAAGATTGGGCTGAACAGCTGCCAATAGCGCTATGGACCAATAGAACCTCAAAAAGAAAGCCCACTGACACGACACCCTATTCACTGGTCTATGGCGAGGAAGTAGTACTCCTCGCAGAGATAGTGGTACCTTCCACGAGGTTGGCAGCCAGAGCTGAGGTAACCTCAGAGGTGAGACACACAANGCTGCCAATAGCGCTATGGACCAATAGAACCTCAAAAAGAAAGCCCACTGACACGACACCCTATTCACTGGTCTATGGCGAGGAAGTAGTATTCCTCGCAGAGATAGTGGTACCTTCCACGAGGTTGGCAGCCAGAGTCGAGGTAACCTCAGAGGTGAGACACACAGCGTTAGAAGCACTTGACGAGTACCGAGACGAGGCAAGGGAACACTTGAAAAAATATCACCGAAGAATGTCTAAGGCTTACAACTTGATGGTAAAGCCAAAGACCTTCCAAGAGGATGATTTGGTACTAAAAACAGTCTCAAGTGTTATGTGCGGCCTGACCATTCCTAAGTTCGCCGCCAAGTGGGAAGGACCTTTCGAAGTCCAAAAGACGGAAGACAGCGGGTATTGTGAAATCGGGCGCGTCNACCGAAGAATGTCTAAGGCTTACAACTTGATGGTAAAGCCAAGGACCTTCCAAGAGGATGATTTGGTACTAAAAACAATCTCAAGTGTTATGTGCGGCCTGACCATTCCTAAGTTCGCCGCCAAGTGGGAAGGACTTTTCGAAGTCCAAAAGACGGAAGACAGCGGGTATTGTGAAATCGGGCGCGTCGGATCAGAGAAAACAATGGGAAATTTTAATGCCAAATGGTTGAAGCTATACTACTCTTGAGGGATAGAAATGTAAACATCCATAGAAAACATGTAAACGAATTTTGGAAGACAAAAATGTAAACATCGATTGATATGAATATATATGAAACTTGTCCTTTGGTTACATTTTGTGCAAAAAAAAAAAAAAAAAAAGGAAACACATACATGAAACAAGCTACAATAATCCACAAGCAAATGGTGCCTCTGCGTCAAAATCCCTAAGGGCACAAGCGGTCCATGTGTAGCCGCTCATGGGTCCTCAAGGTATCATACAGAACCTCCAGTCTTTATTGCATGTCATCATATTCAACTCGCAAATGGTCAACTAGCCTCTGTGAATGCTCGTTGTCGTACAAAATACGAGCATGAGCGATGTGGTCACCAATGATCGGAACAGTAATCCCAACACACCAGAAGTCCCAGATTGCACACTTCAAATGGAGAAGGTCGCTTGGGGCAAGATCTCTTGCTGATCAATGTTGACAGGTGTACACCAAGGATGTCAGAAGGTCCAAGATAAAAGACTGCATACGCTCATGTTGCATGGGTAAATAGTGAAGTATCATGGGAAAACACTGCAACAAACGATCCAAGAAAGGGATACTTCGTCAAGTAGTGAAGTATCGGTCACACCATAAAATAATATCCTCGCCACAGCCCGGACCATCATACGGAAGGGGAAAGACAAGGATAACAGTTCTAGAAGGTTGTGTAAGACCACGCTCCTCGGTAATGCGACTAGTGGTGGTGGAAGTGCTCATAGTTGGTTGGGATGCAAAGACACATGTGGCAGCAGTAGGAGCGGGGCACTTGGCCTAGGATGCCGAGTGATATGAGGCGCGCCCCTCCGGGGCAAGGGGAAGAAAACACTCCCATGAGAGGGAATGGTCCGAATAGGTGCTAAAGGAACATCCGATGAGACAGTTGAAAAAATAGGAACAGTCAACGAGGGCGAAGGAGGAACCTGTAGCGAGGTAGCGCCTGGAACATTCGAGCAAGGGAACAAGGAAGGTGCCGAAAGAGGCAGAGTCACATCACTTAAGTTTGGAGAAACAATGCCCGCAAAAAAGTTATCACAAAAATCATTCTGAAAAAGCATAATGTCATTAAGAGAAAGACCAGAAAAGTCCGCATTTGAGAAGTCTAGGCCAAAGAGGAAGGGGCTTACCTGATCGAGATTCCCAAGGCCAC